TAAGTAAATGTAAAGACTATTGGAAATAAATGCAATGTAAATTAAGTCAAGTAAAACAATGAATGTGTTGAAGAAACTTACAATTTTATTGCTTTGATAATTTATACACGAGAGGAAACTTTCTCTCTCAAAGGTTTGAAAACTTAAAACTTCTAAAACCTAATAATTTTTTTTGTGACTTCAAAAAAAAAACTTGACGCTTACAACGGAAGTGATCAATATTTATACTACAAACGATCGGATTTCAAAAACATTTGAATCCGTTACATTTATACAACACAGGAAAAAGATAAAGTTGTTGATAAGTGATGAGCTGTCTTGGATACGTGTCTTGAATTATTGATGACCTGCTCTGAAATTGGCAGACAAGAGGATAATCTTCATAAAGTAAATCTTGAGAAATCTTGCTTGTGTCAGGGAGGCTTGACAATTGTAAGCTTTGGGAAAAGATAAGTCTGATGGATGTCTTTAATATTGGAAGAGATAAATTTGACAAATTGCTTTGTGGTTCTGACAAGTATAAGCCTTGAAGTCTTGATATTTTGTAGAGACTCTTGACTAATTTACCTCTTGGCAAGAGAAAAAGTTGACTGGGGAAGAATCTTGTCAGCGCCGAAACTTTTGAAAAATGATGCTGAGTCATCAACCTTTATTAAAGTCATAATTGATCTGGTTTTGGAACATGACAAAATAGTCATCCTCATCTGATCGCTTGGTGATTTGATGCTATCCGGTCTACTTTTGAGGTGTTGAAATCACAATGGCCATAATAATTTTGTCCATATCTTAAAAGTTTTGACATTGAGCCAACTCAGCAAGGAGTCTTGATTTTTGAGTCAAAAATGTTGATTGTTGTTAAGGCTGACATAACTGTGGGTGTTGAGAGAGCCACACTTGCACAGCTGGTGGACTATATTTTGGATAGAAAAACTAGGCCACCATTATAAGAAATTTTCTTTGTAATTCATCGGAGCGGAGGGAGCGAGAGATGTAGTAGTAATGTGAAATTGCAACTCATTATCCAGGCAATTAAGAAATTGCTGGAAAAAGTAGCAAAGGTGTCTTCACTGTTGTTGAAATTTTTTGTAAACAAATATATCTTTCCAAGACCGAAGGTGGAAAGATTTTTTCATTTAAACCAAAAAAATAAACCATTGTTTGAAACCATTGGAAATGTTTGGATAAGTTTTGTCAAAATGAAAACCAGGAGTGTGTTGATGAGTTAACAGAAAGTATGAAACCAGGCTTTTGATAATCTTTATAAGAAAATTCTTGGGAAATGAAGGATTGAGACAATGGCATCTTTGATAAATTCAGTACGCCAGTCTTGAGGTCTTAAAACTTTTAATTTACATTTGAAAAAGCAATTCTATTGGGATAATTTCTATCAGGATTATGAGTATTTCTATTGAATCAGTATCAACTAAAATAAATTCATAAAATGTTCTTGTTTTTAATAAATCATCAGGAATAAAATAAAAATCTGGAGGGAAAATTTTTGATAAAGTTTCTTGCATAGTTTGTCCCCAATATTCGGGTTCAACAATGCAAATTGATTGAGTTATATCTTCTCAATGTACTGAAAAGTGGGTAATACGACAGGTTTTGATGGGAAAGGTGTATAGGTGGTGGTGGTATGGTAAGGGTGTGTGGTAATTTCTTGGGGAGATGAAGAAACAGATTCATCAGAAGAGTAAACCGCGGTTTGGTGGTGATATGTTTTTCTGTTTATTGGGTTTTGAGGATCTTGATTGTGAAGCTTTATTTTGTGGGGTAATAGGTTGTGTTAGGTGGTAGCATCGCATACGATACTTTTGATTTTGGATTTTTTGGGTTTGATGGTTGATGGTGCCCATCTTTCCTCACTCTCACTCCTTCCTAATAAATCTGTGTCCTGAAAGTTGTTGTGATGAGAGAGAAACTATTAGAAAAACTTTTTGATTTTTGCATTTTATCGAAAATATAATTTTGAAACCTTTGAAATCTTAATGCAAAAAGTTGAAAAACGTTTTTGTAATGCATCAAAATTTGTGGGTAATCGAGCCATTCTTTTGGTAGGACAATTTCTAGACTCTTTAATTTGGTAATAATTTATCTTAGATATTGAAATATTTTTTAACTTACTAATATCTTTATTAATGGTGGATTGACAAATTCAAATGTAACATTGTATCCTAAAATATTTGTTGTAATTCCCTTATTGGTTACACTAAAAAGGTAAATTGGTATTTGAGTGATAAAAGGTGTTCCTATATAACGTCTTGATCTAAATTTTGCTAAAATAAATGTACTTTTAATACAAAAATTTTGTTCAAATATGGGCATTAGATAATTATAATTAATGTTTAATTGTTGACCATTTGCTCCCTAATCTCTTTTGTTTTTTTCATAATATTTATTGGAATTAATCCTTCTCTTATACAGTTTTGATCTGCTCCAGTGTCTACTAGGGCTTGTGTAATATATCTAATTCATGATTAATATTGATCCTAATGTAAACATGCCATTTTTGAAATTGAATTCTAGAAATTTCATTAATAAATGCTTCTTCAGATGTCTTTAATTGTGATCCTGATTTTAAGGTTGATGGTTGTCCTACAGTTTCTTTTGAGGCTTTTAAACATTATAAATCTGTTTTGATTTCAATATTATCGTTTTGTAATTCTTACCCTATGTTTCAGAATATGATTCTTCTTGTAAATCACTAAAGTAACTTGTGTGGGTTTTGTCAAATCTTTTTAATATGTCTTTTAAGTTATAAGAATCTACATCTTTTTGTTTTTTCTTCGGATAAAATTATTCTTTGGTTTTAATAAATATTCTTTTTTAATTTCTTCATCCTGAATTTTGTCAATAATATCTAATAAAAATTTTTGATTTGGTAATAACATTTATGACTTAAATCTAGATTTTGATATCAATTTATTGATTTATTGCACAGTAGCATGACCCCATGCAATCACAATCATCATATTGTGCCGACTCACTCATTGATTCAGAAGAATTTCTTGAATTTGATAAATCATATCTTCATTATCGTATTGTAACTAGATTCTTCTTCAGGGTCTGTTTGAATAATTTTTAATAATTGTTGTTTTAATTCTGAATCTATTTATAATTTTGATTATTTTTCATGGACACTTGTTGCGTAATGACCTTGTTGTTTGCATTTCCAACATGTGAGTGGTTTTTTGGATATTTTCTTGTTGGAGGATTTTCTCTTTTTATAAGGTTTATCATAAGATTTGTTCGTATTTATAATCTCTTCTGTAATAAGGTTTTTCTAATTGTTTTTGTTTTTTATCTTTTTGTACTTAAGTGAGGAGGTAATATTTTTTATAACCATATTGACTACAAAATCCACTTAATTCTGTTTTCTTATGTTTAGTTCATTTTTTAATTAGCTTTTAATTTAAATCAGTGCAATTATTAAAGCTTCGTTATTAATCAAACTAATTAAATCTCCATATGTAAGTTTCATAAAGTATATTTCATCATATTTTTTGTATAATTCATTTTGACAGTTTGACTAAATAATCTAGGTAGACCATCTAGGAACCTTTCTTTCCAATAGGGTTTCTACAGTCTGTTCTTGTGAATACTTTTTGTAAAACATATCCTATACCATCTAAAATCTGCCATGGTTGGACATCTTAAGTTGATAATATTTCTTGTGTTTTTTCTGAAAGCTTGTTGGGTTCTCCTACAAAGTTTTGGTTATTGCATAAATAATGTGGCTACAGCATCTCCTTTTTCATGTTCATACTCTACTTGCCTAGTACCTTCTACTTTGACTTTCCTAGTCTTTTTTGTTGCGTGTAATATGTGATGTTTATGTGATTCTGTAAATATTATCCCACCCATTTTTTAACATTCCCATAAATCCTGAGACTAATATTTTTGCTATTGAGATCAGTGTTGTCATGTGATTATGAGCTAATGTTGCCATAGTATTTTTGTAAAATATTTAATATTTGATGTTCAACTACTCCGTCTATATTCCATTCATCTATCCTGTTCCAGGTAGGAAGATCTTGCTAGTTGTTACATCTTCAAATTGCATATCTGGCAAAGAAGGCCTTGGATAATAATTTCAAGTTTTAGGATATTTCATATTATTTCTCCATTTTATTAATAGATAAGTTTTGAAAATTTTGATTTTTATTCTTCTATTGGGTCGGATTCTGTAAGGACATTAATGTTTGATTTGGAAGATGATAATTCACTAAGTTTTTACTGATATTTCTAAATAGTATTGTGATTATTAAATTTAATAATTTCCTCTTTTGGAATGTCAAAGGGTTCAAAAAATGGTTTAACATATTTTGTGAATAAAGGGGTGCTGAAGATTAATGTTAAAGTTGATGTTGAATGTCCTAAAGTTGGTGACTTTGTTGAAAGATCTGTTATCCTTCCGGGGGGTTTTTGAAATTTTGTAATTATTGTGGGTAGTATATCTTCTATTTATTCATTTGTTGACTAATAGTGTGGAGAATTGATTAGAGTAATTGTTTTGATGTTGATATTTTTAATGTCTCTTAAAGTTGGTTGCTTTGATCATCATCAATTCTATAATTTTTTAAATGGTGATGCTATTATTCTGCTTGTTGATGTTCTATTTTAATTTATTCTAAAGGTGGATGGACATATGTAATAGTTTATTGTTGTTGTTTGCCAATTTTTTGTTGCATTAGTGGTAACAAAAATAGTTTTCTTTTCACTTAATCTGAAACATTTTCTATTTTCTAACCAATTAAAGAAATAAATATTTTGTTTTAATTTTCTGTGTATTGTAATCATAGATCTAAGGGTATTTTGTTCTTCTGGACTAAATTTTGTAAAGAATATTTGTCGTTTTTTTATTATAATTTTGTAAGAATTCTTGTTTTAATAATTCTTTGTTAATTCAAAGGTTTTGTTATTGTGTTAATTTGATTATGTTTCCTAATATTCTGATTGTGTTGGTGAACTAGGTGGACTTGATGTAGTTTCTTATGCAGGTTTTGGTACAGAGGGGAATAATTTACTCCTACTAATTTACTTGTTGAAGTTGTTGACGAAAGGCTAGGTGTTGTAATTTCTTCAATCCTAGGATTGTGGTGAGTTTTGTTAGTAACTATGGGTTAATTTTGTTCTAAGGATGTTTCTCGAATTTTAATTTTATTTGTACCGTCTAGTTCTTGTATATTTGTTGTATTTCAGATTCATTTTGATCATGCAAAGGTTTTGGAGGACTACATAATTTTCAATTTCCAATCTGTTTGTTAATAATTCATCCCAAGCTAATCTTTTTGTGTAAAAGTTTTATGTTTTGTTTTATCGGCTTCCATAATAACTCTGTGTCCTGGTGGGGACATCTAATGGCTCTTGGACTATTGTGGTATTCATAACTTTGTAATAAATCCATTATTAATGCTACTGGTTGGGCTTTATCTTGATAAGTAATATTAGAAGCTTTTAAATAATAATTAATGCAGACAGTATTGTGGGATCATGTAATCCTACTGTAAAGTTTGGAAACAATCAAAATAAACGGACCACTTTCTAAATTAGAATTAATGCTGCTAATAAAGAGTATTGAAGTTTAAATTTCTGCGTTCTTAATATCACTAATATTGGAATGTTTTGTCCTAATCTAAATAATGGTTTTACTGCTACTTGTACTAATCCTATGTGTAAAATTTATAATTGTTTGTCTTGTCTGTGTAGTGCCCTTCTTCAGAAAGAAGTTGAATTTCTTCAACCCTTTCTTCGGTTATCATTATTGTATCTTCTGTTGTTTTAATAGAGTAATCTGACATAAATTCAAAACTACCTATTTGATATATTGTGTCTTTTTTAACTGGTGGTATATTCCGGTTATGTAAGTGTTGATCTATTTTTGCCATATTAATCTCTTGAGTGTTAATAGATTTCATTAATTCTTGATTATTAGTGTTTTGTTGTTGATTATTAATTCTAATAGCATTACTGCTACTACTATCATCTTGTTTACTGCTACTTCCTAATCTCCTTAAGAAATTAGACATCTCTAAAATAATTCTAACCTAAAAGTTCCAGTTTCTTTCCTAGATCAAGGGACCACCTCCGGGACCACCTAACACGGCTGACCAACGGTTAACAGGCTGACCAACGGTTGACAGGCTGACCAACGCACCCTCCAGGCTGACCAAGCGCAACCTAAAATCAATTCTAGAGTTCTCCTAGATTAAAACTTTCTAGATTACTCTAACCCTCAATTCAATCAAGCTGTGAACAGTGCATGGATGAACAGTAATCTACAGTAAACTGCTACAGTACATAAATAGTAATAGTGAATAGTGATGAACAGTAATATCCTATGAACAGTAATCAGCTACAGTACCATATATAGCAAGAAAATCTTTTTAATAAACAGAAATTGAATTAGAAACAAGTTATTTTCAATAAATCTATATATGATTCTTATAACCTAAAATCTGTATATCACTAATAAAATAATGTAAATTATTCATCTTCAATTTTATCGTCAACACTAGTTACATTATTCAAATCTGTATTCCTAAAGAGTTCGAGTAGTCCGAAATCTTCAGGGTGCTGTTGTAGTCTTCTTTCTGCATGAGTCCAATCCCTAAACACGTTATCACTTTAATCATCTCATCGGTTAAAGAACATCTTCTGTCTTCAACAATCCGATACTCGTTGAAAATGTTGACTCAGATGCAATTATAGAAACCGGCACAGATAAAATGTCACGTGCCATTTGGGATATGATGGAGAATCGACTTTCATGTTGGTTCCACCATTGAAGAATATCCATGTCAAGTTGCTCCTTAATCGTCAGAAAGGTCAGGTTCATCTGTAGGTAACGAGTCATCTCATTTGGTCTATGTATGTACGAGCTGAAGCTTCCGCCACGTTCCACATACGCCCACTTGCTCGATCCTTGAGGGGGGGCTGCATTAAGGTTCTGATCGCCTCTCCTAGACGTTCCACTTCCACTTCCACTTCCACTTCCACTTTCATTGAACATGTTCTCATATAAAGAAAAAAAATATCCAATTTATGTTTAAAGTTAGTCAAATAAGACGTATAATCATATCCTAAATGATGGCCTAACTCAATAATTACACCGTTAACTACGGATTTTAGAAAAAGGCCCAATCCATATAAGAATGGAATATCTAACCAATATCTCTTATATTTTTCTTCCATACTTAAAACAATTTCTCTTAAAATTGTATCATATCTATATCGAGCAAAAGTTTTAACAATTTGAACTAAAATATCTAACACTAAATTAGTAGTTGGATAATAAATACCACTTAATGTATTAATAGCATCATAAAAAATTTTAAAAAATGAATAAAAAAGTTCACAAACCGCCCAATCATCATAGTTGACAACTTCCTTTGGATAGTTCTTCCAGTTGACAAAATCTGTAATTTGTTTCGCGGTTGGCAAAGCTTTTTCCAACATCAAGTAGATAGAGTTCCAACAGATAGGCATGTCTGTACATAACTTTAAAGGTCAAACCGGTGGCTCCTCTTACTTATCATATTTGACGAACTCCTGCTATCTTTTATTGCTACTGCCGACGATAAATCCGATAACTCTACGCACCCTCTCCATCTTTGAATGTATAGCATTTAAACATGCTTTAACTATCAAATTGATGATGTGACAAGCATATCTCTGGTGATAAAATTTGCCTTCACTAACCGGATCCAATTTCTTTTCAAATAAAGAGATTGCCGCGGTGTTAGCAGCTGCATTATCAAGCGTTAACGCTACAGCTTAGAGTTGGGCATTTGGGATCGGGACCAAAAGCCCAACATCAAAACCCGGTCCTAAGACCGATCCTAAACAGGACCAGGCTTAAAGAGGAGGGCCCAGGCCCTCCTCCAAGGCCTGGGCCTGGGTCCAAATTTTTTTTGTATTTTATCCTTTTAGTCCCCTATAAAATTACATTAAACCCCTTATTAATTTTAAATAAGTATAAATTATAAGGGTTAAAATTTTTTTTTACAAAATTTAATTAAAAAAAAAAGTATTTTAGCTTTTTAAAATTTTTTATAACTGCCAACGATTATAAAATTTTTTATAACGGTCACAGTAGAGCAACCAACGGTTATAATTATATTATTAATTATAATTTTTTTTTTTCATTTTCCACCCCACAACTACACTATAAATAACCCTAAAATCATTCATTTTTTTCACACCAATGAATCTCTCATTCTTTCATTCTCTCAATCTCTCTACTCCAAATCTTCAATCAATTTCTCATTCAATTTATATTTATAATTTATTCATATTATTTATTTATATTATTCAAATTTTTTTCTATTTTTCAATATCATCATAATTTCATATTATTATTTAATTTCTTTTCATTTTAATTATTTATTATTTTATCATAAATTTATAATTTCTTCCCCAAATGAGTTTTACGTTCCATCCACCGAAAAAATTGAAGGCTTCAATCCATTTTCACCATTTCCTCTAGAGAAAGATTTTAAGGTTATTTATGATGTAGTTGTAGGGGGGAAAATGAAAAAAAAAAACTTATAATTAATAATATAATTATAACCGTTGGCTGCTCTGCTTTTATCGTTGGCAGCAGCCAACGGTTATAAAAAATTTTATAACTGTTGGCAGCAGCCAACGGTTATAAAAAGTTAAAATACTTTTTTTTTTTAAATAAATTTTGTAAAATTTCATTTTAACCCTTATAATTTATACTTATTGAAAATTAATAAGGGTTTAATGTAATTTTACAGGAGACTAAAAGGATAAAATACAAAAAAAAATTTGGGCCCAGGCTTGGGTCCGGAGGAGGGCCCGGGCCCTCCTCCTTAGGCCTGGTCCCATTTTGGGACTAGGCCCTCAAGGACCGATCCTAGGATCGGGTTTTGATGCTGGGCTTTTGGGTCCGATCCCAAATGCCCAGCTCTAGGGCAGTCCATGGAATGATTATATTCATAGCTAATCCTTAAATTGGAAGAGAGATAAGATCACACATTTTTTGGCGAAGTTGTGTTTTAATGCCACTATCTATTGGATTTGGAGGAGGAGAAACAATAGGCTGTTTGGAGGAGAGTGTAAAAATGCACTAACCATCCACAATGTAGGGAGGTTTTCATGCTTTGGGGAGATGGTTTTTTCTGCCATTTTCAGTCTTTACCATTTTCGATTCAAGGAGAGTTGGTTGTTTTGGTTTTTGTCACCTATTTGGACATTGTCTTCTAGCTTTTTTTTGTTTTGTTCCTAACCCGAGGTCTGTCCTGAGGTAGGAACAGATTTTTGTGTATATACATAGTTTTGTATAGGCTATTTTGTTGGGTCTTAAACCAGGGGATTGTCCTGAGTAGGCTGCCGCCTTTTATAGGCTTTTTGTACATTCTTTTTCTGTTTTCTCATGAAAGCTTATTTGCCTTAAAAAAAAAAAAACAGTTTACAAGAAATAATTATAATAAAACTGATTAAATGCTAGAGAATCAACCAAAAAAAAAAAAGAGAAGTGAACCTAATAATCATAAACATAGCAAATGTAAGAATCGAATCAAACATCGTTTTTTGACAAACAAACTGTACTGCTAATTAATTTTGAAATTTTAACAAGGATTGAATCGAGATTACCTCAGCAATGAATGTAAATTCCTTGAATCTCTTCCAGCGACCGTTGCCTATGGAATCAGTGGTGCTTTCTGCACCGAGATGCGGCCTGTCGTTCATCGTTGAGATTGGAAGCAGATGCTTGAGTGGTGGCATACAGATGAACAAAGCTACCGTAAGTAAAGAGTAAATAAATACAAATTTAACACTATTAATAAGTCCTGATTCAATGACTAAACTGAATCTTAACTAATTAATATAACTCAGATCTAGTTCGATCCTTACCTTAATCCTAGCTTTCCTTCTTCGCTTCCAATCTGCCTGTAAGACCCTGAAACAGTAGGGTAAATCTATTCTTATAACCAACATAAAGCAATGAAATTCTCTTCTCTAGCTGCTCTGAAAATATAATGCTTCTTGAGTTCCATACGATTATTGAAATCGAAGATCTTAAGCTTTGTTAGCAAAATCGCAAACTCAACAAAAGCTTCTGTTATAGACAGACATGAAAAGTCTTTAAGTGGTATGAAAATCTA